GTGTCTACCTACACATCTATGTTGGCCAGAAGTCCAGATGTGACAGTTTTGAAGTCCTAAAAAAATGAAAATGTTTTATTTTCACTTTCCCTATAGTGCAATTCCTGAAATTCCACTAATGGTGACTCATTCACATGGTTTAACCAATCTTTTTTCAGGTTTCTCCTACTTAAAATTCATATCCACTCAGGAGTATAACTCACTGAAATATACACATTACACTAATAATTTTGTTAAATAGGCTATAGTATGATCAAGGATTAAACTATAATAACTTTGGTGAGGACAAGCAGGCAGTTCATACCAACTGAGCCCCTTCCAGATTCTATGCAGGATGCTGAATGATGGATTGAAAACTCAATAAGCATGGTCCCTGCCTGCAAGGTCCTCACAGGAAGTGTCCTAGGAGAAAAGGGGGGCTGCTGCTAAAAGAAAAGGTTAAAGAAACTGGCGAGTGCAAACTGCAATTACTTCACAATTTTATTTAACTAAAACTGGTACTATTCCTGTCTATGCCAAGAAGAATATTATTCACTCTTACAATACTGACACTGTTTTAGTTGTTACAGAAAACTAAAAGAAAAAAAAACCTAAAAAAAGTTTTAATTTAAGTAACTTTGAAATCTAAATGGTTTAAGCATTATATCTTTAGTGGGTTTAATATATTTGATAAAATAGATCCTAAATATCTAAAGGCAAATTTTGCCATTTTTTAAAGCTTTAGAAAAATTTTTGAAAACTTATGAAAAATTTTTAAATTGTTCTCAAAATACTTACTAAAAAAAGCCAGACTAATTGATCTATAAAAATACAAAATAAGCCCTGGCTGGTGTGGATCAGTGAACTGAGTGCTGGTCTGCAAACCAAAGAGTAACCAGTTTGATTCCCAGTCTAGGGCACGTGCCTGGGTTGCAGTCAGGTCCCCAGTAGGGGGCACATGGAGGCAACCACACATGTTTCTCTCCCTCCCTCCCTTCCATGCTCTCTAAAAATAAAAAAAATAAAATCTTAAAAAAATACAAAATAAGATTTAAGAACAGCAATATCATCTAGACCTTATTTTTTAATACACTAAGCATAATCTGTCTTGCTCCATCATACTTGTAAACAAATGCCCATTAAGTGAAAAACAAATTTTAGAATCTTATGAAAGTTTTTATCATTAACTCAAAGCATGTGACAGAGGAACTAAATTAAATGAATATATTTTAATTTAATTATTAGAAATGGATTCCATTCTTATAATTAATTTCTTTGAACAATCTCTGTTTATGTGGAAAAGACATTTTAGTGAGTTTTTTAAAAATTAGCAAGTTAAGTAAACTCTCTCCCTCACTTCAACATTTCCTCTAGTTATAATTTATTATTCAATAAATGACAGGGGTCCTTTTCTTAACACAGACTCTATCATTGTTTTAAGTATCTTTGTTGATGAGATCCTTTAAGAAAGGGATGACTGCATCCATGAAGGGTTTGTTTTGGACTGAGGCCACATTCCCAGATGAACTTTAACATTTCCTCTGAAAAGGTTGCCCAGTAAGTCCTGCCTGTTTAGGGAATAGCTAGGGCACACCACCTGCACTACAGCTGATAAACATCCTGGCATGAGACACAACCAACCTGGTTATGGGAGAAAGAAGCATACCAATATGGATACCAATATTCAGAGTTATAAAAATAAAATGATCAGAAAATGTTTTAATGTTTCACCCTATTTTTCATAAGGTGAAGGGTCAGCTGGAAGGAAGTCCAAAGGAATGAAGGAGAAAGTGGGCCTGAGTGATATACAAATGAGAAAATGAATCCCTGAACAAAGAAATTGACTCTAATGATTTTCTGAGGCATATGATAATGGAAGTTTCTCAAAAAATAGCAGGAAAGCCTTTTAATGAGTTATCCTAGAGACATCTTCTCTAATTCTTATCATTAAATATTTCCTTGAGAGAGGCCACAGTGGGTGCCATGAAAACCCTAGCAACTACCCTTTACTTTTCTTTGAGTTTCAGTTCCTTATTGGGAATTGGGGAGGATTCCCACCAGCATTCAAATTGAAACTGTGAAAATGACATTTCTGTGGTGCCCTTTGGCATCCTTTAAACAAAAGGATGAATCAAACATAGATTAATATTATTGCATGATTCATGTTCATTCTGTATGCATACATTTATATAGTTGTTGCAGAAGTTTTCAAGATTAATTTTGTGAGCAAAAGCTATAGGGGACAGCTAACTAGAAAACATTAACTACATTTCCTGAAATGGTTTTAATCAATTTAGTCAAAAGCAGAAACATTTTACTTTCAAAATTTAAGGACAGAGTTATAAAAATAAAATGATCAGAAAATGTTTTAATGTCCTTTTCTCCTTTATATATTTTACTGAGAACAAGAGATAAATCTTATGCCTAAAATTTATCTTCTCTCAACCCCTATTTTTCATAAGGTGAAGGGTCAGCTGGAAGGAAGTCCAGTACACAAAATTTTAAATTCACCTTGTGCTACTTCCAACCAAGATCAAGGTGTCGGTAGACACAGTGTATCTCCTCGCACAACCAAAAGGACAACAATAAATTTACAAACAAAAAACAAGAAGAAGTGACAGAAAATTTAACTGTGTGGAAGTCTGACAACCAAAGTATTAAAGAAGAAACATTCACCCAGACCTGTAGGAAGGGCAGAGATGGGCAGTCCGAGAAGACAGGACTCGAGGCAAGGCTGCAGCTGGAGAACCAGGGTGGGTAAAGCGGCAGCTGGCAGAGTCAGCGCTCCCACATTTGTGTGCAGATAAATTGAGAGAGTGAGACAACCATGCAACCCAGGGTTCAGGCCCAGGAAATAAAGCCTCAAAATCTCTCACTGAAAAATAACCTGTGGGGATTGAGGCCACAGGAGAAACTCCCAGCCTCACAGGAGAGTTCAATGGAGAGACCCACAGGGTCCTAGAACTATACAAGCCCACCCACCCAGGAATCAGCCCAGAAGAGCCCAATTTGATTGTGGGTAGCGGGGAAAGTGACTGAAAGCAGGTCAAGAGCTGAGCAAGTGGCATTGTTCCCTCTGGGACCCCTACCCCTGACATACAGCACTATAACGGTGATGTGAGTTGCCCTGCCCTGGTGAATACCTAAGGCTCTGCCCCTTACTATGTAACAGGCACACCAAGACAAACAAGAAATGGCCCAAACGAAAGAACAGGTCAAAACTCCAGAAAAAATACAACTAAGCGATGAAGAGATAGCCAACTTACCAACCTATTAGATACACAGTTCAAAACACTAGTAATCAGGATGCTCACAGAAATGGTTGAGTATGGTTGCAAAATAGGGAAAAAAGTGAAAGCTATGAAAAGTGAAATAAAGGAAAATGTACAGAGAACCTACAGTGGCAGGAAGGAAACTGGGACTCAATGATTTGGACCAGAAGGAAGAAATAAACATTCAACTGGAAGAGAATGAAGAAAGAAGAATTCAAAAAAAAAAAAATGAAGAGAGGCTTAGGAACCTCCAGGACAACTTTAAACATTCCAATATCCGAATTATAGGGGTGCCAGAAGGAGAATAAGAGCAAGAAATTGAGAACTTATTTGAAAAAATAATGAAGGAGAACTTCCCCAGTCTGGCAAAGGAAATAGATTTCCCAGAAGTCCAGGAAGCTCAGAGAGTCCCAAAGAAGTTAGACCCAAGGAAGCACACACCAAGGCACATCATAATTACATTACCCAAGATGAAAGATAAGGAGCCAATCTAAAAAGCATCAAGAGAAAAAAAGGAGAGAGTTACGTACAAAGGAGTTCCCATAAGACTATCAGCTACTTTCTCAAAAGAAACCTTACAGGCAAGAAGGGGCTAGAAAGAAGTATTCCAAGTCATGAAAAACAAGGACCTACATCCAAGATTACTCTATCTAGCAAAGCTATCATTTAGAATGCAAGGGCAGATAAATACTTCCCAGAGAAGGCCAAGTTAAAGGAGTTCATCACCAAGCACTTATTATATGAAATGTTAAAGGGACTTATCTAAGAAAAAGAAGATGAGAATATGAACAGTAAAATGACAACTATCAACAACCAACTATCAACAACCAAAAAAAAAAACAAAAACAAAAACAAACAAAGCAAACAACTAGAACAGGAACAGAATCACAGAAATGGAGATCACATGGAAAGTGGGCAGGGTGGAGAAAGGGCGAAAAGGTACAGGGGATAAGAAGCATAAACCTACCGTAGAAAATAGACAGGGGGAGATTAAGGATAGTATAGGAAATGTAGAAGCCAAAGAACTTATCTGTACAACCTTTGGATGTGGACTGAAGGGGAGGAATGTGGGTGAGAGAAGGTGTGCAGAGTGGAGGGGAATAAAGAGGAGAAAATGGAATAACTGTAATAGCATAATCAATAAATTATATTAAAATAAATAAATAAATTCACCTTGTGTTTAACAAATAAAAAAATCACTAGTTACAGCAGGAAAGCTGCAAGCTTTTTTAAGAAGTAGGAGAAAAAATATCTATTCTAATTATACAAAGTAGTATATATTAGTGATTATCCTTTCCTGCCTAGGACCAATTAATTTTCTCCTTGCCTGACCAATTACTGTCCTGGCTAGATGAGATTATCCTGTAGTGTATTTCATTATTTGCTCATCAGATTCATCTAAAAAAAAATAATAATAAACACCCTCATAGTATGGATATCTTGTCCATAAAATGTGCAATCAAACAGATTTTAAAATTTTTTAATCTTTTTAAAATTGAAATGCAATATACAAACCATTATGGAGTTTCAATTTTTGAAAAATTCTGTAATATATTTCATTTAAAAGGTGGTAACATTAGTTTGGATTCCAAACAGCATTTAAAGTAATTCTTTATCTAAAATCATTTTCCACATAAACCTTCTTACAAAAAAACTGACATTAAAATTTCCACCCCCAAAAGGCTTAAACTGTTTCCATTTTATCCAGGCATTCCCCAGGGTCCTAAGGAATGTGATTGTTTTACTTACCATCAGCAGATAGGTGGGCATGTCTCGAAAAGGCTTTATCTATTTCTAAAAATGCCAAGGTCAACACAGTTTCCAAGTTCTTCTCCTTAGGAAGCAAATCCCTTTATGGGGAGAAAAAAAAGCCCCCAAAATCATATTATAATAGGTGTCTCCTCCTCTTCCTCCTATCTCCTCTCCTCCTGGTCATTCTAGTGAGCACACTCCACACAATGGCCCTCTGTGGCTTGCCTTTAGGTGCTCATTAAGTGTCTACTAATTTAGAGGCATAGTGATAAGCCACTAAGGACATTAAAATAAAAGTCCAAGTTCCACCCTGGCTGGTGTAGCTCGGTGGGCTGAGTGCAAGACTATGAACAAAAGGGCTTCCGGTTCAATGGCCAGTCAAGGCACATGCCTGGGTTGCGGGCCAAGTCTCCTGTTGGAGGCACTCGAGAGGCAACCACATGTTGATGATTCTCTCCCTCTCCTTCTCCCTCCCTTCCCCTCTCTAATTAAAAAAAAAAGTCCAAGTTCCCATATTAAATGATTAATCCTCACTACTGCAACTCTTAGAGGTTGAGAGTTCCTTTGTATTAAATTAAGCCACTGAGTGGAATAAGGCAAAATATACTTAAATCGACTAACGAACAGTATGAACAATTATACACAAGAAAGCAAGAAATAGCCATGGCTACAACTCTGTCACATGTTCTCCCCCTCTTTTAATGCTAGCTGTAGTGTGATCCTCAAAAATACATTGTAATAATTGCTTTAAACTATGTAAAAACCTCCAAAATACCCATATTGAATGCATTTTCCCCATACTAATGATAACTATCTAAAGTTATTATCAACAAGTATCCAAAGCTATTCACATGCCACTTGAGAATATAATTACCATTTATTGATGCATTAGGAGCCATGCACTGAGTAAGGAGTAAATGCTTCTCATAAATTCTCATAGTACATGAGATCCCCCAGGGGTGTGCAACCTTTTGGCGTCTCTTGGCCACACTAGAAGAAGAGTTGTCTTGGGCCACACATTAAATATACAAATACTAATGAAAACAAACAAATAAACAATCTCATAATGATTTAAGCAAATTTACAATTTTGTGTTGGGCCGCATGAGGCTTGTGGGCTGCGGGTTGGACACCCTTGAATGATCCCAAATCAAGTACCATGGATTCTGGTTGTTAAAATGAAACAGTAGGCCCAAAGTGGAGTCACTTGTGCTCCACCCACATCACCAAACCAAGGTTTAAACCTTACCTGATTGCAGTACCAACATTTCCCAGCAATAGTAATCTTAACCGGTAATCTTCAAATTACTAGTAATCTTAACCGGGCTAAGTAATCTTGGCCCAGAATTTTCTGGTTAGCACCAGTGAGATAGCCTGTCTCACAGTTCCTTCCCATCCCTCAGAGGAAGAAGCAACAAGCTCTGTCCCTATTTGTTTCCCCCTCTGCCTACAAAACCTTCCATTTTGTTGAGCTCCTCCAAGCTCTTTTCTATTTGCTAGATGGGTTGCTAAATGTAGGAATTGTTCAGTAAAGCCAATTAGATATTTAAAATGTGCTTGGTTGAATTTCTGTTATTTAACATCATCAATGCTCTCACCAGAGGAGTTGAAACATTTATTTCTGAATGGTAATAATCATCAGTAATAATAATCATCAGCAATACAAGACATGCAGAAGCTACTGCTTGTTCATAAAACAATTATAAAACCACTCAAATAACTACATTAAGACTGAATATCTCAGCCAAAAAGTGGAAGTTTAAACATGAAGCGTAAGGCCAACTGCAAAGTCAAGACTGAAAGTCACCGTACGTACATGATGCATTCCTCCATGTGGGTGTGACAGAAGTCAGCAGCGGCAGGTCCTCCATGACCATCGTATACCGCGAAATACAGGACTTCATCGGTCAGCTGAGCAAAGGCAAATCTGTCTTCATTCTCTTTCCGTTTGCCAATCTGTGATGTGCAGCCCACGTTTTCCAAACTGATTTTAGGTATGGGCTTGCCATACTTAATGCTGGGCGGCAGCAGAATTGGCTCATCAATGCGGTTATCCCAGATCCCAAAATTATCCCAGGTGGCTGGACGCCCACTACCATCAGGGTCAAACCGAGAAAACCTGGGCTCCGAAGTGGAGCTGTGGCGTGTGGGTGTCACCCGACTGTTATCCTGTAGCAGGCGGGAGCTTAGCAGCACTCTCCTCACCTGGTTCCCACCACTTCTAACCAAAGTAATCAAGGCAGCTGTTGACATAACTCAAATCCAAAGGATTCAGTAGTCAGGGAAAGGCCAATGGAACAATAATGGAATGTCTTCCAAAAAAATGATGCAACTGAATAAAGAGGGAGAGATCAAGAGAAAGAGAGACTCCATCAGTAATTTTTGAATATAGCATATATTATTAGGCATTACCAAAACTGAAGGCATTAAAGAATGTGGCACCTAACAGCCAACTTCTAAGGGTAGTGCATCAACATCAATTCACTATTTCCCATGCCATTCAGAGTTTAAATTCTATAAAAATTTGACAACATGTACACATCATATAGTCAAGCTTTAATTTATGATCACCTTGGGATCTTGTTAAAATGCAAACTCTGAATCTGCCTGCATTGGGCCTGAGACTCTGTCTGCATTTTTAACTGCTTCCTGGTGATGCCTGCCTGTCTAGCAGGCCACCCTTTGAGTAGCAAGAATATAAAATACAGGTATAAATTAATATTCTTCCCTTTATTATCTCTATTGCTCTGAAGAAAAGAGGCAAATATTACTAACAAAATGTCTTACAAGAGATAGAAATAAGAGAAGAAAGGATAACTGGCTAATAGAATGTTTATGATAGTTCTGTACCCAAAGAGCATCCCAGTCTTAGCAAAGACACACCTAGGATCTAAACTTTGTTTTGTTTCAAGATTTCTCCACTTACTAAACTTTACATACGTAAACTGGTTCACACAAACACCCCCAGAAGTACAAGGATAAGCCAGTTCAGATGTTTCCCTTTGCGGTAGACCCTCATGGGAAAGGTGTGTGAACTCAGGAATTGAGGGGCACTGCATTTCTGACAAGCACCCCTGACTTGTGAGCAACAGATCTGTGCATTTACATTCACCATTACCCTTTTGTCACACAGCCCCAGGAGCCCACCCACTCTCACTGCCTACACCTCTAGCAGGAGATCACAGCAGAGTATGAACCACATTTTTTGAAATGATTATTCTGCACCCTCCCTTCTGGACTCTGCCCCAAAGCTAAATCCTAAAAGCTCTTCTGTGTGTGGTCAGGGGGAATTCCTATATCCCTGCTAGGGTAGCCCTTCCTGCTAGAAGGGCTGTTTCTGGCCATTTTCCATACAGATTAGCTTCTAAGCAGAAGTTCATCAGGTACTTCAGTTAGTTATTTCATGAATTGAAAACATAGCATGATGTTAAGGTTTGGTAATTCTAGTGGAGGGTATGAGATGTTATATTCTTCTCAATTGTATGTTTGAATTATTTCACACAAAAAATATGAGCCTGAAAAAATAGATCCCCCCAAAATGTACATACACAACAAAAAAAAGCCCAGTTTGGGTAAATCTGTAAGAAAATGTGTTACAGATTTCAAACAATTATTTTCAAATACATTTTTGGAAATCAGTGTAGCTATGTATTAGAAGAGCCATTACTCCTTTCAGTGAGTAAAGCAGTAAAAGGAAAACATAAGGTTCCAAAGTACACCTGTAGATACTTAAGCAATGGAAGTCATGAGCCCTGCCTTCATAGGATTTAGAATGAAGATGGCGCCCAGACAATGACTGTTATCATAAAAGACTGAGGAGGCCATCCCTTCTTGGTCTTTTAGCTGATATCGTGCTTAAAAAACAGAAACTCACTTCTTTTATGACAATGTTAAAGGTGGTGGAGACACCATCTCTGGTTATCAAGTATCTAAGAAAAGTAACATATTCCATTACCAAAAAAAAAAAAAGGTGTTTACCTCTTAGCTTCTGATTGCAGGATATATATATATATATATATATATATATATATATATATATATATATATATATATATTTCTTTTTAAAATTTTATTGTTGTTCAAGTACAGTTGTCTGCCTTTTCTCCCACCACCCGCCTCCAATCCCAGCCATCTCCACCTCCCTCCTCTGATTCCAGCCCTCCTTGGTTTTGTCCATGTGTCCTTTATAGTTGTTCCTGAAAACCCTTCCCTCCTTTCCCCTCATTACCCTCTTCTACCTCCCCTCTGGTTACTGTCAGTTTGTTCTTAATTTCAATGTCTCTGGTTATATTTTGCTTGTTTGTTTTGTTGGTAAGCTTCCACTTAAAGGTGAGATCATATTTTACTTGTCTTTCACCACCTGGCTTATTTCACTTAGCATAATGCTCTCCAGTTCCATCCACACTGTCGCAAAGGGTAGGAGCTCCTTCTTTCTTTCTGCTGAAGATTATATTTTATAATCTTAAATAATAATAATAATTATTATTTGAGTTGCAGAGGAGTTGCAGAGAAATGCCAAACTGCAATGCAATCTAGCAAATAAGAGAACTAAATACTAATTATTGATGGAGATAATTCACAAAGCACAAAATCATTGATGGAGATAATTTACTTTTTCTCCATCAAAACTATTGATGGAGGAAAAGTAAAAACTTTAAATGCATTGATTAGAAAACTCGTTCATATTTTCAGAGTGCACTAGCAATTGCAAAGTGTTCTTTTGGCTTCAGTCTGAAAGCATGTATGCCATATTCAGCCTTAAGCCATTTTGCATTCACGCACCTACCTTAAACAATAGTTCTAAAATTATAAACAATAAATATTGGATAAAGTTCTTCTTCAGTTTGTATAGGATATTGCCTCCCATCTCTGTCCTCCAAATATAATAAATAAACAAGTAAACAAACAAACAAACAAAACAAAATAAAACAAACCTGCATTCTCAGCAGGAAACAAATATCCACTGGAAACATTACAAAAGAATGAAATGAAATGCAAGTTGGGCTGTTTCTTTAAGCCCACATTTACTACAATTAATCATCAACCTGGTCTCCTTCCTCATTGATTATCTGCACAATCATCTCAGAAAGTAAGCAGAACAGTCATAGGCAAACATTTCCTTTAAGGCCTACTATTGGCATAGATGAAATATGAGGCCAATATATAGCTAGTTTACATAATTAGGTCAGCATCAATTATGCAAGCTAGAAACTTTGCCTGAGAAGTGGTTCCACCTTCTTTTCCATAGGCAAAAACTAAATCCTATCAATCTCCCCATATTACCAAGGAAACTATTTAAATTGGACGTGTGTTCCCAAGCTAAATAGCAACTTTGAACTAAATCTGCACATCAAAAAACGTTTCCTCCACTGCTTCACACCAGGAATCAGCCAACACAGACCCCAGCTCTCCAACTGCCCATGGAACTGTCTATGTACCAACTAGCAGGCAAAGGGTGGAATTTATAAAGTGAACAACATACAAGAATCTTTAAAAAAAAATCAGTGTTCTTTATAATGAAAAGAATGGAGAGCAAACTGACAAATGAAGAAACATTTCTATTATTTGTCAGATCAGCAATTATAAATTGGCATGAATTTATCATTCTGCTAACTAAAAAAGTTATTAAGAAGTCCTTTATGTCAATCTCTCAATCAAAAATCAATGCAAGCTCATTTTTATAGACCATTTTAACATTTATATTCAACCTCCAAATGTCAAGGTCATCCAAAAGGGTCACAGGACACAAGTTAACTTTTTCTTGAAAGCCATTGAAGACACAGAAATGTCACAGCAAAAGTTAAATGGACTAGGAGCACAAGAACACCTTATGCTAATACACCATATGCTACTAGCAAAAATAAAATTTAAAAACTATGCTAAGCAAGAAAATAAAGATAAATAACTTGATTGGAATCCTAGCTACATAACAGATGTTATAAGATAAAACAACCTAAACTGTTCGATCATCACAGACCAAAAGGGGGAAACACGGGCAGTCTTCCACTTAGCCCAAGCTGTTTTCCAAATCCTTTTTATGTATGGCACAAATTTACTGTAATCATATGAATTTTTTAAAAATCCACACACAAAACCCTGTATATTCTATACATTGTCAATAAATAAACTGAAAATACTTTCCTTTTTCATCAGTTTCACTTTGATTTTTGTGACCAGGCCTGCTCCATCTTCCTCTTCCTCAATGCCTTTACTAGCTAATCTGATATTCTGAAGCCCTCACACAGATCTCTGAATAATGAAAAGGGTTGGTTTAACAATTCTGACTGTGGGAGGGAGAGAGGATATTCTCATCAATGGGTTAAATGGAAGTGCAATAAGTTGTGAGAAGCATACAAATTATACACAAGATTGCTGGTGAAAACCCACATCCTGAGAGTAGGAAACCTCAGGTGAAAAGCACCAGAAAGGGAAAAAAATGCATTTAGTTTGTGGTAAACTTCTGAAGCACATATTTGATTTACAAATCCAAGGGGCAGGGGGGGATGGTGTGAAGAAATCCACACATACAACTACAAGATAGCTTTGCCAATTTTACACTTCATTTTTCTCCCATTTTATAATCCCTCAATGGTTTAAACACCTCAGGGTAGTCCAAGTTTATTTTTGGAGAAGAGAGGCATTCACTGTCTCTGGCAGGAGAGTGCACTTGGGGTTTGGGTTACACTGCTCTTGACTGCTGAAAGCAGGTCAAAAGGGTGGTTTATGTTGTCATTTTAAATCCATGCCAAAATTACTCAGGAGTTCTAAGAATTAGTACTACTGAAGCCTGCTTAGATTTATCCTTCTAGCAAAAATATTTTTAAGTATTCAAACCATCTATCATAAAGTGATACTTAGGTAATTTTTACATCCCTACCTTCCATAATGGAAATGAGCTAATTTCAATACTGAGCTAAATGTTTCTTCATTAACTCTTTTAAAATCAACCAATACATCACAATAAATTCAAATGACATGGACTGCTCCAGGGTGTATTTCAGAAAACTTGGATTCTAACATCTTCTTTATCAGTACACTGGCTAGGAGGAAAGGAAAAAAATCAATGTCTACCCAAGGGAAAAAGAAACAACAAAAACTCCAGTGACTTCTCTTAGGTTTGATGGGAACCTTTGTTTAATGTGTGAATAGAGGAAAGAATATGGGAGCAGTGAAAAGTACTCTTTCTAATTCCACAGATATCTCTTAAACCGTTTTAGTTAATGCAGATATAACTCAAAGACTATTTCAAACCTGTGCCTTTACACTCCATTGAAGAATTTTCCTTTACATTCTATTCTATACCCCAGCACCTCTCCCCTCTTCTTTCCCCTTCTCTAAGATTCCAGCCAAAGGAGATGCTGTGTTAGCGGTCGATAGAGTTCCTTAAGGTTGCAAGAAAAAAAAAAATCATTAGCGAGATCTCAGTACTCAAAAACGATTCCTAAGGTATTTTATTACAGAGCTGTATCTGTTCTTTCCCTAGAATACAACGAAACCATTGCTATTTTTTTTTCCAGGTAAATTACAACCTGTCACTTCAATCGCTTATTCAGAAACCACCAGATAACCTCCTTCTTTCCACCTCACTGACGGAGGATGAAACGGACTAAAAGGCCTAGTTGCACATCTCCATTCTAAAGCTCAGAAAGGCTAAGGGAGCTTCAGAAACTCCAAATTCCCTGGCTATTTTCACCCATAGTATCGTCTTTTGCCACCTCCTGTGAAAACTCTAATCTACAGAAAGCGGCAGCTAAAAAAGACATCACCAGTCACACTCCTTGAGGTTACAATGCTCTCCTGGCAAAGCAAAACCCACGTCTTCACTTCTACACCAACCAAGGCTCTGTCTGCATGCTTCTCTATTCTAAGCCCCTGAAAAGCTAGCCCCTGCACGTCTCAGGATCATGGGCTCGGCTCGCTGACCGTAACAACTGAGTGTCCAGTTTGACATATGACAAGGAAGCACACCCTCCTGCCCGCGTAGCACTGCGGCCGGCTGGGTTTTCCCCAGCACCGTCCGCCGCGGGGTCTCCACCTCCCAACCACCCTCTCAACTTACAGATCCCAGATCCCGGGTGTCGCCCACGTCTCCCTCTCCCCGCTGTCCCCGGGTTGCGTAGGGCGACGAAAGGCCTCATTAAAGAGAAAAGCTTGCGGGCAGCCCTTGCGTCCCTTCTACCGACCCTTCGGTGGTCCCCTCCTCCCTCCGACACAGCCCACAGCACTCGCTCGGCTGGCGCCTCCAGCCAGCGGTCTAAGTCAAGGCAGAGCGCAGGGTATCGAAAGGAAACAGCCGCTGCCTGCGGTGCAGCCGGGTGGGCCCTGCCGGGACATGATGCTTCTGTCCTCAAAAGGAAAGAAAGCGGAGCAGAAAACACAGACACTGACGATGGGGCTCGACTGAGGGGGCTGGGGAACCTAAACCTGTATTTCCCCTTACCTCCCTAGGAAACCCTGCCCGATTAACTCTCCATTCCACAGTCCAGGAGCGGTGGGGTGCGACCCGGCCTATAAATAATATAAAAGATTAAGAGAAATATATGAAGTGCACTCTAGGCTCTTACCTAGTGATGGTTATATGCCTGGAAAATTTTTAATTAGCTAACGGAGGTCGGGGGAAGGGCTTTCTTGGTCTGTAAATAAAATAGCCTTCTCCGATATGTATGATCCCTGAACAAGCAGTTGGAATAGTCCCCGGCTCGCTGGATGGAAATTCCGGAGAATGCGTCTCCCGCAGTCCGCCGGACTAAGAGGAGAGAGGGGGGAAGTTTGTTCTCGCCGACTGACGGCAGTTCCAGCCAATCCGCGCTGGGAGGGCCGTGCTCCTGACGAGGGGCACACCAATCACAGATTACGACGGAAACGAGCCTCCCCGTAACTACAATTTGACTTGGCTGTCCTCTAACTGTGCACTGTAGAGCGACGTCCACTAGGACCAGTAACGGCTCGCAGTGACACCCCCAAGGCCGTGGAGCGCCGGCCAATGAAGAGGGAACTCGGTGGTGGGTGGGGTCGAGAGACCAGTACCAAGACTGTGTTGAAGACTCCAGCAGCGGGGGTGTAGTTTGGGGCAAAGGGGCTGTGGTTGTGACAACTAGAAAACTGCAAACGGAATGCTAACACTTTGCCTGCGCAAAGGCGCTTGAAAGGCTTCTGGTTCATTATTATTCTTTGAAAAACAGTGCAGCGTTCGGCATAACTAAACAGGCATCTTGTGACCCCTTGGGAATGTCCGCTCATTCATTGAACAAGTATTTGTTTATCTAGGATCTTTTGCCTGTCAGGCACTGTGCTAAACCCTGGAGATGCAATCGCAACTCAAATAGACATGATAGATGCCTTCATGGGCAAACAGGTAAGCAAGCAAATAAAATAACATATGGCAAGAGAGGAAATGGACATGGTATGGATATAAAGAATATTAGGAGGTTGACATTAGATATGGAGGGTTGTTCTAAGAGAACTTTACAAGATAATATTTAAATGGAAATTGAAAGAGTAAGAAAGAACCAGTTAACCCCGAAATCAGGAAAGAAATTATTTTCTGGGCAGAGAGATCAGAGCAAAGACATCTTGCCGTTTTAGAAGAACAGAAGGAAAGTCAGTGTGGCTCCAGTATAGAGTTAAGGAGAGAGCAGTATGACAGTAGGTGGATGAGGCAGACAGAAGCCAGACCATGTAGCCAAGTCTTGGAGTTCGCATTAATTCTAAATTTGCCCTGGCTGGGTAGATCAGTTGGTTAGAGTGTCATAAGTCAAGGTTGTGGGTTCTATCCCCCATTCAGGACATACAAGAATCAACCAATGAATGCATAAATAAGTGGAACGACATATCAATGTCTCTCTCTCACACACAAATACATCATAAATAATATTTTTTTAAAAAATTTAAATATAATGGGACTCTATTGAGACACTTTAAAGAAAGGAATAAAATAATCTGGTTAAGATTCAGATCACTTCAGTTACTGTGCTGAGAACAAGTAGACTAGGCTATTGGGAGACTGAGTAGGAGACTATATCAAATGAGACGCAATGTACGAAATGAACTGTCTTAACCCGTGGTGTCACTGGAGGTAGGGAAAAGCAGAGAGATTCCTCCTGACTGGTATGGCTCAGTGGACTGAGTGCCAGGCTTCAAACCAAAAGGTTGGATTCCTGGTCAGGGCGCCGGGTCAGGATAGGTCCCCAGTTGGGGAGGCGATACATCACACATCTGATGTCTGCTTTCCTCTCTTTCTCCCTGCCTTTCCATCTCCCTAAAAATAAATAAATAAAACCTTTAAAAAGAGAAATTCAAGATTTTAAAGATAAATTATTATCTTGTTTTGATATATTAGGTATATTGATTCCAAGACAACTTTTTTTATTGAAGTTCTTGGGATGACATTTGTTAATAAAATGATATAGGTTTCAGGTATACAATTCTACAATACATCATCTGTATATATATTGTGTTTACCACCACAGGCCAAAGCTGTTTTGAATCCAGTTCATTGAATACTCTGTTCGATGAGTGATTCCCACACTGATGGCTCACAAATTGTAGTAATGATATTTGAGACTTATTACATGTGTTGAAATATATTTTTCATGGGCTTTCTGAAATTGTCTTTCTGTTTTTAACTGTTTATTAAAGTATTTTACATGTGTGCTTTTGTATACATATACAGCAAAGTATGCATATCCCAGGTATATACAGCTCAATGAATTTTCATAGTCTGAATACACCTGTGTATCCAGCACCCAGATCAAGAAATAGAACATTATTGGCCTTGGCTAGGTAGCTCAGTTAGAGCATTGTCCCCATAAGCCAAGATTGCAGGTTCTTTCCCTGTCAAGGTACACACAAGAATCAACCAATAAATGCATAAATAAGTGGAACAACAAATTGATGTCTGAAAGAAAGAGAAAGAAAGAAAGAAAGAAAGAAAGAAAGAAAGAAAGAAAGAAAGAAAGAAAGAAAGAAAGAAAGAAAGAAAGAGAGAAAGAAAGAAAGAAAGAAAGAAAGAAAACTATTAACACCAGGGACCCTATCATGCTGCCTTTCAGTCATTGCCTACCTGACTTTCAACAATACAAATTAGTTTTGCCTGTTTTTGTACTTGATATATATGTACATATAGAATCACACAGTATGAATTCTTTTGTGTTTGACTTCTTGACAACAAGAAACTGTTAACATGTGAATTTTAAGCTTCTTAGTATAAACATTTTGAATCATCCTTCCATGTTTGACCTCCTTTTAAAGCACTTGCAATCTGTATGCTCAGCATTTGAGAACATCATGACTTTGCTACATTCTTTTACTATAATATTACAATCCACAGTCATATGATAAGCAAGAGCAGTTAGGCATTCCTAAGAATATAGAGTATGTTTGATGCTAATACAGTTTTTGGAATTACATTTGAAAGTCATACCATTCCACATCATACCAGAGTTTATTACAAATGAAGCCAGCAGTTTACTTCTTTTGAATTATATTCTTCTGCTCTTCGAATCTCTGAACCAAAGCTTAATGTAGTACAAATGTACATCTACTCAGCATGAGAGATCACCATATAATGTCCAAAGAAACAAGTGAACCTGATATCCATGGTTTTTAAAACTTGAGCTCCTTTTTTATTTCACTTAATATTTTAAAGAATTGAACTACTTTATAATAGTGACTCTCAAGAAGTTATACCTAGAACAAGTCATAAGGCTTTGGGTAGGTGCATGTCATGGGAGCTTATAAAAAATAAAATGGGGACATGTAAGTTTTGAGTAAACCACTTGAGATTTAGGCTAATGAACTACCATGATGAAACTGTTAAAAGATGAACTAAGGCATATTAAACATTTAAAAAGTTTATTTGAGCAAATATTGGTTGGAATTGGGTGGCACTAAATCAGAAGTGGTTAGGAGCACTGCACCAACAGAAGCTAGAAGTAAAATTTTATAGATGCACAAGCAAAACAAGGAAATTATTTGATTGGCTAGAGCCTAAGCATTTACCTTTGAAGAACAGAGTGAAAAAAAATAAAATGAAGTCACTATAGTCAAGCTGCTAAATTACTAAAAGCAAATAGCTCGAGGCATGGGAAAATGGTTTTATTCTTTAAAACAATTTTTTTGTTCTTTCATTGATTCCATAGAGAGGGGAAGGGAGGGAAAAAGAAAGAGAGAAACATCAATGTGAGACAGAAAGCATCAATTTGCTGGCTCTGGCACATGCCCCAACTGGGGACAGAACCTGCAACCCAGCATGTGTCCCAACCAGAAACTGAACCTGTGACCTTTAGGTTTGTGTAATAACACCCAACCAGCTGAGCCACACTGACCAAGGCTGATTCTATTCCTATTTTAACTAGCCTGGAAACTTAAACTTTTGAACTTTCCAGGCCCCTATTTAGTGTGTGTGTGTGTGTGTGTGTGTGTGTGTGTGTGCTCGTGTGTGTCAATACCTGGACACATACTAGACTTCCAGATAATCCTGATTACCCTCTGAAGGACCCAAGTATCCAGACCACCTAACATCCACTTTACATCCATTATCCAGACCACTGAACATCTGACTGATAACTGTCCTGGACCAACCTACAGCTAAGAATGCAGGGCTGATTCATCTTAAGAAAGTACTTTTTATTGCAAGAACTCTTAGCTTTTCTTCTTCATCTTACTTAGGAAAGTCTAGTTTGTGATTGGTTGTCCTTAGGTTTCTATTTCTAAGTCTGAGGCAATATAGGCTTAAGTTTTGGTTTACTTAAGTGAGCTACTAAGGCATTAATGTCATCTCAGTCTAATGGCCCCTTGTTTAATACAAGCTAACACTACCCATTTTCCTAATTAGTTGCTAATATTCCCGGAAGCCATATAGTATGTAATAATAAACTGATAATATTACTGAACCAAAGTGGGAGTCGGCTGCCTGCTGCCACCAATAGGCAATTTCCAGAGGTAGGGGTTCATGAGAAAGAGGTCTTTATTCAAATGGTCAATGAATGGAGGGACTCCCCATCTCCATGTTCATCAGGCTCATCTCTTCTGCAAAAACACAGGCAATACCGAGCAGGCCCCAGCAAGACCAAAACGAAAGGCAGTGCACAGAATTTCTGCTCCATCCTTGTCTTTCGGAGCCCGAGATCGCTAAGCGGGCAGCTGTCCATTTGGGCTCCCTCCTGAAGGCTACACGTGTTGCCGGCGCCACCATTGGCCACGTGGCTTCCAGGGCCAGAAGATCCCACGAACACCGGCCTAAACCTCCAAGTGGGGAGAGCCTGGCCCTTCCTCCCCCTGAGTTTATATAAATTACCCATGTGGGCCAGACCAGGGGCTTTTTCTCAGCCCAAACTTTTGCGTGCCCTAGCAGGGCCCGGCCCCGCAACCAATCCCTTCTTTGCCCCAGGCTAGACTGACAGGTTTTTCTGGTACAGCACCTCCCCCCTGCGGCCATTTTGACCTCTAAGACACCTGTGCCTGCCTTCCCCCGGTCGCACCCCCAGTCAGGGACCGGAAGGGGATAGCAGGGCTTTTCCCTTATCCAGTTATTTTTGCTGGCTTTGCGTGAGCTCATTGCAATGCTTCCTCCTGCCACCATCTTGCCCAGGAGTGGGGCGATCTGTCCTCAGGAGCGGGAAGCAGGGGATGAGCGGAAAATTCCGCTGGCTTGGTTACCCTGGCAACGCAACCTCACCTGCTGCCTTGGGCGGTTGGCGGTCTCCTTTCCCCGCGGTCCGGCCAGGCTATCAGGATCAGTAATTTAATTAA